AGTGTTAAGTGTTAAGACTGTTGCATTGTTAAGTTAATTCTGTATTTCTACTGCATTCTACTGCATCTGTTGGCTGTTGCACTGTTAATTCTGTTGTATAGTGTGTAATTCTGTTAACAGTTACTTCTGTTAATTATGCTGCATCTGTTGGTCGTCCCTTTTAGGCCAACTTTAGTTTTAGCTTTGGTGTTAGACTGTTAGGCAAAAGTTTCATTTTGCAATTTGTAGTGCACTGGACTGGAGTGGCGTCAACTTGTGTTTTAGCCTATACTTTGAGTAAAAACTCAATTCTTCCAAATTTGAACTCTAGAAAAGATTCCATGGCTTGATTACTTGATCAGTTGATTGCCAAAAATTCTCTATTCTTTATAGTTCAGAATAGATTCTTTCACAATTCACAGTGAAAGTTCCAGTTGTGCACGTGCACTGTTAGCATTGAATCATTGACTATTCAACGATTATTAAACCGAAATCGTACCGAACCAAATTAAGAAATACCGAACCGTATTGAAATATTTTGGTATGGTATTTGGTATACACAATTGATAAACCGAATACCGAAATACCGAACCGAAATTCTTAAATACCGAACCGAAATACCGAATGCCCACCCCTAGTCGTGACAGCCCCGTAATGATGTACTTGTAATATCTGTACTCATGAATAAAACTCGAGTTAAACGTGTGTTAATTGATCTAGATAGCTCGGCCAACATCATTCGATCGAGGGTCCTAAAACAACTCGGCCTACTGGACCAAATCGTGCCTACTGCCCGAGTGCTAAACAGATTCAACATGGCTCGTGAAACTACTAAAGGTGAAATAACGTTACTGGTAAACGCAACCGGAACCATCCAGGAGACAAAGTTTTACGTGATCGAAGGGGAAATGAGGTATAACGCCCTGTTCAGGAGACCGTAGATTCACAACATAAGGGATGTTCCCTCGACCTTTCACCAGATGTCAAAATTCCTAACACCAGAGGGGATTAAAATGATCTACGGGGAGCAACCTGCCCCAAAGGAAATGTTTGTTGTCGATGAAGTAATTCAATATCAACACTCTTATCGACAAAGAAGCCAGATTTCAAAGCAAATCAGGAAGCCAAATAGCAATCAACGATGCCGGCCTCGACCCAATCAGACAAGCAGAGGACTGACGAAGACGATGATTATGGGGTTCCTCGATCCTTCATAGTCCCTAATGATTCCGACGCTACCAAATCAACGGTCTAAGAGCTAGAGCAAGTCATACTGATCGAACATCTGCCAGAGCGAACGGTATACCTGGGCACGGGGTTGACTCCCGAGCTTAGGAAAAAACTCATTCAATTTCTTATAGCTAACATGGGTTGTTTTTCTTGGTCCCATCTCGACATGACAGGGATCCCACCGGAGATCACCACTCACAAACTGAGCCTGGACCCGAAATTCCATCCGGTCAAGCAGAAAAGAAGACCACAGTCCGAGATCAAGCATGCCTTCATCAAGGACGAGGTAACTAAACTCCTTAAAATAGGGTCCATCCGGGAAGTCAAATACATGGAATGGCTAGAAAATGTAGTAGTAGTCCCTAAAAAAGGGAACAAACTGAGGATGTGTGTGGATTACAAGGATTTAAATAAGGAATTCCCCAAGGGATCTTTCCCTTTGCCTAACATCGATCGCATGATCGATGCCACGGCCAACCACGTGATCCTCAGTTTTCTCACCTACTCCGGGTACAACCAAATACGAATGAACCCGAATGATCAAGAAAAGACCTACTTCATCACTAAGTATGGCACATATTATTATAACATAATGCCATTTGGACTAAAAAATGCTGGTGCTACTTATCAACGCCTAGTAAACCGAATGTTCGAAGAACAACTAGGGAAATCTATGGAAGTTTACATTTATGATATGTTAGTTAAGTCCCTACGAGTAGAGGACCATTTAAAGAATTTGCAAGAAACCTTCAGTATATTAAAGAAGTACAACATGAAGCTAAATCAGTAAAAATGCGCATTCGGGGTTGGATCAAGTAAATTTCTCAAGTTCATGGTATCTAATCGAGGAATCGAGATCAACCCCGGCAAGATCAAAGCTATCGAGGATATTACGGTAGTGGACAACGTGAAGGTCGTGCAAAGTCTAACTGGGCGCATAGCCACCCTGGGCGATTCATCTTGAGGTCCTTCAATAAGAGTTGTCAATTTTTCCCGTTATTGAAGAAGAAAAACAACTTCACATGGACCCCGGAATGCCAGCGGGCCTTGGAAGAACTTAAGCGATATTTATCGAGCCCGCCACTGCCTTACACACCGAGGGCGGACGAACAACTATACTTGTATTTGGCAGTATCGCCGATAGCGGTAAGTGGAGTCCTAGTCTAGGAAGAACAAGGTACGCAATTTTCGATTTATTATGTTAGCCGAACCTTAGGTGAGACCGAAACTAGATATCCTTACCTAGAAAAACTGGCGCTCGCTTTGCTAAGTGCCTCTAGGAAACTAAAACCGTACATTTAGTGACACCCTATATGTGTTGTGACAACTTACCCATTGTGAAATATAATGCATAAACTCAAACTCTCGGGATGATTGGCCAAATAGGCCATAAAAATCAGGGGATACGATATTGAATATCGACCCCGAACAACCATTAAGTTTCAAATTTTGGCAGATTTTGTGGCTGACTTCACACCGGCCCTAATACTCGAGGTCGAAAGAGAGTTGTTGGTAAACTCGGGGACGTCTTGAGGAATCTGGACCCTCTTTACGGACGTTGCATCAAACGCAAATGGTCTGGACTTGGCATCGTAATGAAGCCACCCACAGGCAATATAGTTAGACAATCCATTAGAACTGTGAAATTGACTAACAACAAGGTCGAATATGAGGCCATAATTGCAGGTCTCGAACTGGCCAAAAGCTTAGGGGTGGAGGTGATCGAAGTTAAGTGCGACTCTCTCCTCGTGGTAAATCAAGTTAACGGAATGTTCGAAGTCAGAGAAGAACGGATGCAATGGTACCTGGATAAGCTGCATGTAACATTACATCGATTTAAAGAGTGGACTTTGCAGCATGTACCTCGAGATCAAAATAGTGAGGTCGATGCACTTGCAAACTTAGGCTCTTCAGTCAATGACGACGAGCTCAACTCGGGGGCAGTCGTACAACTCATGAGATCGATAGTAGAAGAAGGTCACACCGAAATTCCATAAGCCTAACTTGGGATTGGAGAAATAAATACGTAGATTATTTGAAGACCGAGAAATTACCCTTAGATCCAAAAGAATCAAGGGCCCTGTGCGCAAGTCAACCCGATTCAGCTTGTCCGAGGATGGAACCTTGTTCAGAAGAATGTTCGATGGCCCGCTATCAATATGTCTGGGACTAGGAGATACCGAGTACATTCTGAGGAAAGTCCACGAGGGCACTTGCGGAAACTATTCAGACGCCAAATCATTGGTTCAAAAGGTAATCAGAGCCGACTATTACTGGATCGATATGGAAAAAGATACGAAGAAATTCGTACGGAAATGTGACAAATGCCAAAGACATGCTCCGATGATTCACCAACCTAGGGAACTGCTGTATTCAGTCTTGTCACCATAGCCATTCATGAAGTGGGGAATGAATATTGTTATCCCTATTCCATGGGCATCAGGTAAGACTCAATTTATCTTATTTATGATTGACTATTTTTCTAAGAGGGTTGAAGCCCAGGCGTACGAGAAGGTCAGGGAGAAGAAAGTCATCAACTTCATTTAGGACCACATTATATGTCAGTCCGGGATGCCATCTGAAATTTTATGTGACAACAGGAAATAATTTATCGGCAACAAAGTGACTAAGTTTCTCGAGGATCATAAGATCAAAAGAATTTTATCAATGCCTTATCACCCTAGTAGGAACGGACAAGTCGAATCAACCAACAAAACTATAATACAAAGCCTTAAGAAAAGGTTGACCGACGCTAAGGGAAAATGGAAGAGATCCTGCCCGAAAATCTTTGGGCATATCGCATAACCTCGAAGTCTAGTACCGGGGATACCCCATTCTCATTAGTTTATGGCACCGAAGCTCTAATAGCGATCGAAGTCAGGGAGCTAAGTATCAGATTTCGATATGCAACAAAGGAATCAAATGACGAGGCCATGAATACGAGCCTGAAACTATTGGATGAAAGGCGTAAGCCGCCATTGTCCAACTGGCCGCCCAAAAGCCACGCATCGAGAGTTATTACATCGAGAGGTGACTTAGTAATAAGGAAGGTCACACTAAACACCCAAAATCCGAATAAAGGGAAGTCTGGTCCAAACTGGGAAGGACCGTACCAGTTTCTCGAGGTCACAAGGAAAGGATCCTAAAAGCTCGAAATGATAAACAGAGAACAACTACCGACATTTGTTAAGGTATGACCCCATTTGTTTTCTTTTATTTTGGACTAACATTTACAGGTAATCGACAAAAAGCAGCACAAAGTTTTAGGTCTGAAAGTCCGCGTTGCACTCTTTTTTCCTTAAACCGATTTTGTCCCAAATGGATTTTTCGGCAATGTTTTTAACGAGGCAACAGTGGATCGTGCCAACTTAGAATTAAAGGCCGATCACGAATTGATGTCGAAGATTGCGTTTACAGTATCCGAGGTTCCTCTACAATCAACCTCGAATACTGAGGGGGAGGCATTACCCTCGGATATCAGCTTTAGCGAGGAAATTACTTCGTAATGGAAGGGTCTTGATAGGTAGGATTTGTTGTAAGGGCCAAACGGTCCAACGAACCGTGCCCACATAGATTGCTCGATCCATGACATAAAACATGTACGCATATATATTTGTTTTGCACAAGAATAAAGAGAAGTACTTTCCTTGCAATCATCTTTTCTATATATTAGAAGAACAAGACTTTCGACATGTCTGCTTAGTGTCTTTTTAAAAAAGCTTGAGGGTAATTCAGTCATTTAGCATTATCTTTTGGCCTATTTTCTCTACAACAAATAATACGTGTAGCTTTCTTGGTTTCTTTCTCAGCCACCGCATCCTTTTCCCATCTTCAGCCCCAGTGCTCTCAAGATCTGTTTGTGTTCTTGCTGCAATTAATTTTGCATATATCTTCTTCTTTTTCCTTAATTTTTTTCTTTTAGATTTCTCTCCATCGTTTTTAGTTTTGCTATTCAGTGGCTGTAGAATTCATTCATCTTCAACCTCAAATTTCATCCTTTGTATCTCGCTTTATCTCTCTTTTTCCCTTTTACCAGAAGCTTAATAGTTTCCCATTGTTGATCTTTTCTTTTTTAGAGTCTAAATGCTTTTTCATCTCAACCCAATACTGACTCGGATCTGATTGATAAGCCTACTTAAGAAGAAGAAAATTTTGGGTATAGCCTCACATTGCTTAATAAAGTTTGGAGTTTTGTATCTTCTCCAGTTCTCTTCCAATGTTTCTTTTTCTTCAATTTCATCTCATCTCTTTTGCTCTTTCGTGGTTCTGTCACGGTAAACTACTACTGATTTTGTTTATCTCTGTCTAAATAACAAGAACGAGATTTGAGTTTCTGCACCATCTGCAGAAAGGCTTCAATTGTTGGGTTTTAGCTCAGCTCTATCTTGCATTTAGTTTGATTTGCAGGTAACAAATTACTCATATTTTTAGCATTCATAGTAAGCTCGGTAAAGAAATGCTCCTCCTATGTTGAAGCTTTAGTTTTGGGCAAGGTAACAATTGTTAGTTTTCTGGAGCATTCTTTTTCTCATTCTTTCACTCTTTTATTATTTTTGATTTGACTTCTGTTGGTCTGACTTTTTGGGAAAATGCTTTGTTGATGGATTTTATCAAGGTAAGATTATCCTTCTATGCCCTCCCTATTCTTTGAAAGACTCGGACAGATTCACTTTTCTTTTTATCATTTTTTTCATTTGATGGTGGGAGATGGGATATTTTCACTGTAGCTTTGTGGTTGATTTGGTAACGAGAAGATAAAAAGCATATAGATTACTTTTGAATGTAGAAAGTTGTGTACTATCACTTTGTGTTACTCTTATATTTTATGGCAACTTTAGTTTCGATGTGTGTGCTTCACGTCAATAAATTTCAAAACAAGGGCATATTATTCATTATATCTACAAAGAGATACACCACATTTATTTCTACAGCCACCACCATAGTTTTGTAGCTCTTACTCTTTTTTCTTTCGATTTTCTTCAGCCATGATACTTTTCCAAATTCACTGGTTTGCTCCTATTCGAAAGTTTGACAAAAATTTGTTCTTTTCCTCTTGATTTGTATGCATGATATCTTTTTTCCCTCATTGTATAATATTGTTCCATCTATCTTAAAGTGTTTGTTTTTTTAATCTGATCTGACCTTTTGGGTTTAGAGCATCAAGAAGAAGAGTGTAGGACAGCAAGAAAGAGACAACTTGGAGCTCTTCATCAGAAACAAAGGTGAATTTTCTCTCTTCTCTTTGTTTCCTGCATGTTCTGTGTCTACCTCTTTTTCATCTCAAAAGTTGCCCTTCTCTCTGTTTAATTTAGATTGTGGATTGTAGATATCTATGTTGATTCAGCAGATTTAACTTGGTCAGAATCTTTGGTTGACTGTGCTACGTCAATTTCATCAGAAAATTCTAAATATCCAAACACTAATTTCAAAATTCTACGTTATAAACTTTTAGAAATAGAGGATAGATTATGTACATAGATATAGATATGATTTATTAGTACATATAATTTTCTCACTATTAGATTTGGTTGCGATAGCTAAGTTCAGAGAATAGAAAAGGGCTGCTGAAATGATACAAATGATCAAACCATGCGAAAAGTACATGCTGATAAAAAGGCTAGGCGACAGAAAATTATATAGAGTGATGCAAGCTAATTAAAAGAGGCTCTCTTAGTGAAATTATAAGAAATCAAAGCTGAATCAAGCATACGACATCTTTCTGTCAGCTCAATTTATTACTAAATCAGCCAATACATCTTCAAAGTTATAATGTTGTTCTTATTCTGAGCAATTTAGGTAGATTTGTGTTATTAAATTAACTGTATCTTCAGAGTTGGTTTAGGCTTAAAAGAGCAAACTTGATTAAAAACTTGCAAAATTTGCTAAGCACCAAGTTCTTTGAGAAATATATGCAGTATAAGTATTCTATAATAATCATTACTTTATTTGCCAGATTGTGTGAGAGAATGATGAGAATAGAGGAAAATCAGGTATTATGAAATAGATTTAACATCACATGAACATTTAGTTTGAACTTGCGCATCAAAGTTTGGACCAATGCTTGCTGAAATCTTATCAATTTGGGCTCTTCATAATTATTCATGAAAAATTCTATCCAAACTTTTATTGTTGTGTAGTTTGTTAAATGAAATGTTCTCATGTTTAATACCTCTTCTGTGTTTTTATTCTGAACATTTGATTTGGTTATGATTATAATTATTAAGGAAGACAATATTACTTATATCATAATGAATTTGATTATCATTATACGGTAAATAGTGGGTAGCAATATGATTGGATATAAATTACATTTGATATATGAAGCTCATGTATACTTGACAATATGGCCGGTCAGTTCAACATGTGGACATGTTTCTTTATATGGTGAGAGCACAAATATCTTTTTAAAGAGGTATGTCAGTTACAAGCATAATCTCCAATAATTTTTTGAGATTTTCCCAAGAAGGGTCCGAAGTATTGGTCTTATTGGGTATTGATGTCGTCCTCTATGACTATGATTGCCAACCTATTTGGTAGCTTAAGAGACTGGTTTGAGCCTTGAAAGTTTTTTCACTAAAATTGAGTTTACTTTAGTCTTAATTTATCTTAGATAATATGTTGCATATGCATTCTCAACAACTCGCACATTCTCTTTGAACCTCAAAGACACCTTATGGTGAAAGGTATGCAATTAAGCCACTTCTTGCTGCTATTTCAGAATGCGGTTGAATCTACTTCTGCTTTCTAGATGTTGCTGCTATTATCTTTCACTGTTATGATGTAAGTTTAGTTCAACTAGTTATAAATCAAACTCTGCATTACTTTTAACTTCTAAGCTCCACATGCAGGATTACTGTCTTACTATTTGTTTGTTTAGGATACCACATTTTTTCGATTTCTTTTGCCTAACAGATTTTGAAAGCAGATTTGGCTACTTAATTTTTGTGTTAAAGTTCACAAAAAGTACCAACAAAGAGAATAAGGAAAAAACAATAGCTTGAACTATTGTGATAGTTTTTCTTCAAGTACGACAATTACAGACTAGAGTTCTAGGAAACAGTGAGAAGACTTCTTATGTGTGAGGATATTTAGTTCTGAAAATAGCTCTGTACAGTATCTACCGGTTGAAATAATGAACAAAAGCTTCAGCTTTCTTGACAACAAAATACAAGAAGTAACTCTAAAATCATATGCTAAGTTGAATAGTATACTAAATTCAAAACATTAAGTTTAGACAAACAATTGACTTCATTCAAGATTTGACAACATGGATTACTAAAAGAGCTGATTTAGTTTAGTTATAAATTTTGCAAAGGTTCGCATAGTAATATTTGGCATGCTCTGCTACGTATTAATCTTTAGAATTACTAAACCAATTGGTAGTTGAAACGCTCCAACATAGAGTTTAGCGATCATTTTGTCGGGTAGGCTGGCTTTTCTATATTTCTGCATTATACTTATTTTTATTATTTATCACTGATGATGTGCGTTGGTGCGAATGAATTATATAGTTATACCTATAATTTACTTATTAAATTTGAGAAGAACAAGTATGATATTTGTATAGAGCCGCAGAGTCATGTATTTAACACCATCTCCTACAATTTCTCCTTCTGTGACGACCTGGCCAGTCGTCTCATGAGTTGCCGCTCCGTTTTCCCAATTTTTGCTTTCCTATGCTTTAATTATCCATGTTATGTGGTATCGGGTTGGTCGGATCGAGTTCGAAAAGGATTTGGCAAGGTTTGAGACACTTAGTCTCTTTAGAGTGAGTTTAAGTTGAAAAAGTCAACTGGATGTTGACTTATATGATAGAGGGCTTGGATGTGAGTTCTCATGGTTCGGTTAGCTTCGGGAGGTGATTATTGGCTTAGGAGTGTAATCATAATGAATTTTGGAGGTCCGTAGTAGATTTAGGCTTGAATGGCGAAGTTGATATTTTGGCGATTTCCGGTTGATAGGCAAGATTTTTATATAGAGGTCAGAATGGAATTCTGAGAGTTGCAGTAACTTTGTTATGTAATTTGGGATGTGTGTGAAAAATTTCAGCTCATTCGGACGTGGTTTGGTTGGGTTCTTAATCAAAAGCATATTTCGGAAGATTTTAGAAACTTAGGCTTGAATCCGATGTGTTTTGGGTGATTTGATATTGTTTGAGGTATTTTGATGATTGGAACAAGTTTGAATAGTTTTTAGGATATGTTGGTGCTTTTGGTTGAGGTCCCGGGGGCCTCAGGTGAGTTTCGGGTGGTCAATCGGACCATTTTGGAGTTTGGAAAATTGCAGAAAAACAGTTCCAGCAGTTGCAGACATTTTTGGTCTTCGCGTTCGCGAAGAGTCTACTGGGGGAGGTGAAGGTTTAGCCTTCGCCTTCGTGAGGCAGGTGACACATTCGCGAAGGGCTGCGAGGCTGTGCATCGCATTCGCGAGAAGGTGTTCGCGATCGCGTAGAAGAACTTGGTCAGCTGGGTTAGAAGTCAAGTTGATCTTCGCGTTCGCGAGAGATAGAGCGCATTCGTGAAGGGTCGCCTGGGTGAAGCATCGCATTCACGAGGGCTTTGTCGCGATCGCATAGAAGGAAATTTGGTCAAAATAAGTTTGTTCTTCGCGAACGCGAGGCTTTGACCGCGTTCGCGAAGAAGGATTTCCAGGCCTGGGCAGAATGTTTAAAAGGCGTCTTGTCCGCGAATGTGGCTCTATTTTCCTCCATAATTGATCGTTTTTAGAGCTTTTTGAAGGAGATTAAAGAGGAATTCAAGGGGAAACGTTTGGAGGTAAGAATTTTGGACTTAGAACTCGATTCTATTGTGAAATCTACCTAGAAAATCATGAAAACTAAGCCTAAAATTGAAGAACTAGGGCTTGAGAAATTGGACTTTTGATTGGGGATTTGAAGGACCATTTGGGGTCGGATTTGAGAACTTTTGACATGTATGAACTCGTGGAGAGATAAGGAATCTAATAAAGTGAAAATTTCTGAGTATCGAGAAGTGGGCCCGGGGCTCGGATTTTGCTAATTTCGGGATTTATGCCCTTTATTGATTGTTTTCACTTGGGCTTTGTTCCCTTAGCATAGTTTGACATCCTCCTTCTGATTTTGGATAGATTTGACGCGCGTGGAGGCCGATTCGAGGGGCGAAGGCGTTGCGAGCTAGAGATTTAGCCGGTTCAAGATGAGTAATGATTGTAAATGATGTTTTGAGGGTTTGAAACTCCGGATTGCACATCGTAGTGCTATATTGAGGTGAGACACACGCTTGATGGCGAGTATGAGGTTGTGCACTATTGGGGATTGTGATTGGGTCCGCCCTGATTGATGATTTTACCTCGTATTTGATTGAAAACTGTTTTCTATCATCATTATTTGGGTTGAATGCCATATTTAGGCCTAGAGCCAACTATTTGACCCCTTCGGGGCTATTTATAGATATTCCTCACTGTTTTGAGTTATTACTTGATCTCAGTCATGTTATTTCCCACTGTTTTCATGCTCAGTCATGTTGAACCGGGTGAGGCTAGGCTATTAGGGACAGACTTGGTGCAGGATGTTTTAGAAAAGGTGAAGGTGATTTAGGAGAGGTTTCGTACAGCACAATCGATACAAAAGAGTTATGCTGACAAGAAGGTTCGAGATGTGTCCTACATGGTTGGTGAGAAGGTTCTGTTGAAGGTTTCACCCATGAAGGGTGTTATGAGATTTGGGAAGAAGGGTAAATTGAGTCCTCGGTTCATTGGGCCTTTTGAAGTGCTTCGGAGGATTGGGGAGGTGGCTTATGAGCTTGCTTTGCTACCCAGCTTGTCGAGTGTGCATCCGGTATTTCATGTTTCTGTGCTCTGGAAGTATATTGGGGATCCGTCTCATGTTCTGGACTTCAGCACGGTTTAGTTGGATGGTGATTTGACTTATGATGTGGAGCCAGTAGCTATTTTGGAGCGTTAGGTTCGAAAGTTGAGATCAAAGGATATAACTTCAGTGAAGGTGCAGTGGAGAGGTTGGCTCGTAGAGGAGGCTACCTGGGAGACCGAGCGGGAGATGCGGAGCAGATATCCCTACCTATTTGAGACTTCAGGTATGTTTCTTGACTCGTTCGAGGACGAACGTTTGTTTAAGAGGGGAGGATGTGACGACCCGACCAGTCGTCTCATGAGTTACCGCTCTGTTTCCCCCATTTCTTCTTCTTATTGCTTTGTCTATCGGTTCTATATGTGATCGGGTTGGTTGGCTTGGGTTCGGAAAGGATTTGGTAAGGTTTGAGACACTTAGTCTCTTTTGAGGAAGCTTAAGTTGGAAAAGTCAACCGGATGTTGACTTATGTGTTAGAGGGCTCAGATATGAATTTCTAGGGTTCGGATAGCTTCCGGGGGTGATTTGGAAATTAGGAGCGTGATCGGAATGTGTTTTGGATTTCCAGAGTAGATTTAGGCATGAATTGGCGAAATTGGATTTTTGGCATTTTCCGGTTGATAGGTGAGATTTTGATATAGGGGTCGGAATGGAATTTCGAGAGTTGAAGTAGTTCCGTTGTGTCATTTGGGATATGCTGGCATGTTTGGTTGAGGTTCCGAGGGCTTCGGGTGAGTTTCGGGTGGTCAATCGGACCATTTTATGTTGTTGAGAATTGCAGAGAAGTTAGATCTTCACGTTCGCGAGTAGGTCCTCGCGTTCGCGAAGGGTTAGCTGGGGAAGGCTGAGACTTAAGCCTTCGTGTTCGCGAAGGGCTGTGTGATTAGGCATCGCGTTCGCGAGGGAAGCTCCGCGTTCGCGTAGAGGAGATTGGGCAGCTGGGTTTGAGGTGTTTTGTTCATCACGTTTGCGAGAGAGGGAGCGCATTCGCGAAGAGTCAGGCTGAGGAACCATCGCGTTCGCGAGTGTCATGACGCAATTGCAAAGAAGGATTTTTGGTCAAAGTTGGATTGTGCTTCGCGAACGCGAGGAGTTGACCTCGTTCGCGAAGAAGGAATTAAGGCCTAGGCAGAATGTTTAAATAGTCGTCTTTTCCGCGATTTTGGGGTTTATTTCCACCATTTTTGAGCGGATTTGGAGTTTTTGAAGAGGATTGAAGAGGGATTCAAGAAGAAACACTTGGAGGTAATTTTCATGGACATAATACTCGATTCTAATGTGAATTCTACCTAATTAATCGTGGAAATTAAGCCTAAAAATTGAAGAACTAGGGCTTGAAATTGGAGACCTAGAATTTGGGATTTGAGGGGTCGTTTGTAGTTGGATTTTGATGCTTTTGGTATGAATGAACTCGGGGAGTGATAAGGAATCCATTGATGTGAATTTTATCGAATTTCGAGACGTGGGCCCGGGGGTTGATTTTTGGTAATTTCGGGATTTATGTTATAAATTGATTATTTTCGCTTGGGCTTCGTTCCCTTAGCATATTTTGACATCGTGATTCTAATTTTGGATAAATTCGACGCGAGTGGAATCCGATTCGAAGGGCAAAGGTGTTGCGGGCTAGAGTTTGGACTGGACTGAGGTGAGTAATGATAGTAAATGATGTCCTGAGGGTATGAAACCCCGGATTGCACATCGTTGTGCCATATTGAGGTGACGCACACGCTAGATGACGAGCGTGGGGTCGTGCACCGTTGGGGATTGTGACTTAGTCTGTCCCGAATGACTATTTTACCACGTATTTGACTGAAAACTATTTGCTATCATTATGTTTTGGGCTGAATGCCATATTTGGGCCTCGTGCCAACTATTTGAGCCCTTAGGGGACTTTTACTGATATTTCCTCATTGTTTTGACTTTATACTTGAACTCAGTCATGCTATATTCTACTGTTTTTATAACTCAGCCATGTTTACTCTACTTTAACACTTAAATGAGATTTTAAATGACATTTTAGGCTGAGCATCATGTTTTATTGTTACCCGAGTGGCTTGTGAGAATTTTGACTGAGTAAGGCCGAGGGCCTATGTTGTGAGGAAACACCTGATTATGATTATGAGGCCGAGGGCCTGAGATTTGTACGCCACAAAATGGCTTGCTGATATGAGGCCGAGGGCCTAGTGATGATGCCACGATATGACTTGATATTGCGCTTGGGCCGTAAGGGGACCCTCCAGGAGTCTGCACACCCCCAGTGAGCGCGGGTACCCATTGTGATGTGAGATATTGCTCGAGGGGCGGATTTGTTGACACTGTGCCTGAGGGGCGATCCTTTATGTGTTTATCTTTCCTAATTGCCAGTCATTTGCTTGCTTAATTGTTAAAAAGGCATTTTATGAAGTTTTAAACTGAACTCAGTAATTTACACATCTTTACTCCTTCACTGTTTTACTGGCTTTTACTGCTTCCTTATAGCCTATAATGTGCCTTACGTGATTTCTTGCTTTCAGTCTTTATTTATGATTATTACTCACTGGGTTGGAGTAATCACTTTACTCTCTACACCCCGTGTGCAGATTTAGGCGCATCAGGTCCCGCTAGCGAGTTTTGATTTTCCAGCTCAGGCGGATTCGAAGATTCTCTAGGTAGCTGCCGGCGTTTGCAACCCAGAGCTTCTTCCTTTATCTTATCTTCCTCTGTTTTAGATTTGAATTAGACTATATAGACCTTTCTTGTATCATCCGTATTGTAGATGCTCATGACTAGTGACACCCCGGTATCGGGCTGTGTTGATTTTTACTTCCGCATTGTACTATTCACTGCTTACTTTGGGATTATTTATTATGTTTTAGACTTAATTCTTATTTTTTAATTGCTTAAAATTGAAATGAGAAAGTGCCTACTGGCCTTGTCTTCATGAGAGGCGCCATCACGACCGGGTCCAAGTTTAGGGTTGTGACAGGTTCTCCAACCGCTTCTGCGGTCATAGCCTTCCCAACCACTTTCCGCTTCTGCGGCATCGCACCTGCGGTCCCCAATCCGCAGGTGTGGAAACAATAGAAGTAGAAAATCTGCAGCTTCACTAAAACTCCAAACTCCCCGTCAACCATCCAAAATCACCCTG